AAAGATGATACTCATGATACGTTATTTTATTATGTTTGGATTTTGTTACTTGAGTTTGTTATCCAAACATATTTTTTTTTTATAAGATGACATACGTGATACGTTTACGTTTGGATTATACTTCTTATAAACTTTGCAAATATCTAGGATGAGTAGAGGATTTTGAAAGTTGTTGTTAATGTGTAAATGTGTATAAAATCATTTTCTCAATAACACTAGAGTTTAATAGAATTGCAAAATCAATGAATTCACAACTTTTTGAATAACAAATGATTGTAAAAGATTTTTAAAAATCAACACACCAATAACACAAGATTTTAAATGAATTACAAAATCATCATACCAATAACAAAAGACTTTAGTAAGAATTCAAGAATCCATAAACCAATAACAAGAGAATTTTAAACTTTAAGAATCTTTAAAAATCATTCTCCCAATACCCCCCATAAAGTATCGTACGTAGAAGAAATTTAGTAAAGGATTGTTTTGTCATTTTATAGTGAAAAAGTATATGAGTAGCAAAAAGTATGTGTGAGTGATATTAGTTTGTAAGAAAGTAGGTGTAGATGCCAATATCTCTTCTTATAATTATGTGTGGTACAATTTTATTGTTAAAAATTTAATATAGTAACAATTATGTAGTATGTTTTAACACCAAAATATTTTTATATTAGATGATTTTGTGTATTAATAATATAAGATATATAACGGTGTCGTTTCATGGTATTTAAAACAGCACCGTTTTGTTTTAGTTGCGACTTTAGACCAAAACACAGTCGCTTTAGTAGCTTATGTGTCATTCTAGTCAGACTCTAGTGACGACACAGCAATACCGCTTCACGGTTTTATGCTTTTTACCGGAATAAGATAGGTGGTGTAGGTAATTCAAATTTTATCGTAGTTGATGTAGGGTTAGGCACAAACAAAAGTTCAATGGGATAAAGTAAGAAAAAAGTGTTGTTTTCCTCTAAATTACACTCAAACCATTATTTTTATTTTAATTAAGTAGAGATGACACTAGTCTCTTACATGATTCTATTATAATTGTTATCTTTTGGTTTTATTTAATCAATGTTATTAAAATCAATGTTTACTTATTTTGTAGCATACTTTTTTCTTGTGTTTGTTTTGTTTGATTAGTACTGTTGAGGCCACCAACCAGGTGATGCCTTATGGGTTGAACGATTGGATCCATTTTGATATTGACGTTTGTTTCGTTTTTCTCTTATGGTGGGTTTTTTCATTGCTCATAAGTAGACATGAATGTATTACTTTATCTTTACTTAAGAAAATTGAAGATGGGAGTGAAGAGAACACAATATATATGTCGTGAAAAAAATGATTTAAGTCTTCAATCATACACACACACAACAAAAGATGTTGGGTATATAGTATGACACCAAAATTAGTACCAATTTAGTGTATTATTGGAGAAATTTTGGCCTAAGAATTTACAATATATTTAATGATTTAGTGTCCCATTTAGTGTATTATTGGAGAAATTTTGGTGTAAGAATTTACACTATATTTAATGATTTAGTGTCCCATTGTATATTCCCTAACTAATTTTAGGCTTATCACATAAACATCACAGTCCATATAACAAAAATTGAAGTGTTAGTAGTCTAGTACAATATTTGGGATCAAATATACTTATATATACATTTTAATTTACTGTATATATTACTCAAATTGGAGTGCAAGCCATGTGCAACTCATGTTTTCTTAGGCTTATAAGGTTTATTGATTATACTGAAAATAAAATCTCCAGTTTATATTATGAATCTCTAGTTAAAAAAAAATAGTTAACTATCCGTCGAATATACTGTTCATTAAACAAAAATTATTTATATTTTAGAAAAAAATATATAATTTTCTGTCCACTCATTCATCCATTTTTTTTTTCTTAGTTCACCTCTGATCTCATCATATAAAACTTAAAAACAAGAATACGCATTATCTATCCATCGTGAAATCGCAAATATAATTAACAACATTATGTGATTGAATAATATCCACTATAATGAGACAACATAATCTTATAATTGAGATCATGATTTCACGACCAGTCTTGGATCTATTTCAAAATATTGCCTCTTTATTTAGCAACACCAAGTTTCTTTATGTCTTTTGTACTTATCTCTACTTAAGACCCAAAAAGGGTTTGGTTCTACGTTTCTGAATCATATATTATATTTATTAGATGAAAGGTTCTCTTGCGTTTATAAAATTACATATCTGTTGTAGCCTAGCTAAAGCAAATTGTGAAAACACCCAAACTTTATTTGATTTATAAGCAAACATAAAACATTTCCGAATAATAATGCCATGTTATGTGTTTTGTAAAATCATTACGACCATGATCCTCAAACAAAACTCATCTTATTCCATATAATATGATTACGATGGTTGCGACGGAAAAATTTGTTTCATAAATTACACTGCATTGTATTTACCATTCATAAACTATAGCACATCATAGTATAAACCGAATTATTATTTTTTGTTATAAACTAATTGTGGACCGTTTTTACAAATAAACAAAATTTGATTTATAAATTTTTTGTTGTCCGTTCCAAAAATAAAATATTTCATTCGGTGAAAGAAAGATGAATGTAATGCACCATTTGTGGGTTAGGTCCAATGATCTCAATAAATTTTTATTAAATGATGATGGACCGACTATATTTGGCCCTATGTATTATATGGTTTCAAGTAGGATACACCCCTATTTTTGCTCGAAGACAACTTATATGACGGCAATGGGAACTTAAGGGTATGGTCAAATTTGTGACTTGTTCTGTATTATTGGACACGTTTACTGTTTTCTGTATAGCTCTCTCTAAAGCATCATACCAACAAATCTTGGTGTAGATAAAAATTAGGTGTCTGAGTAAAATTTAAATTTGGTTTTAAGATCTACTGATTCTATTTTCTACAATCCATCACTAGACCAGTAATGTTTACAGCGAAAACATTAACATTTTAATTAATTTATATCGTAATTTATAAACTGCAATTTACAATGAAAATATTATCATTTTATGGAAACACTATCCAATTTATAAGACTTAATTTATTTAGAATGATTTTTACATATAATGAAGAATAAATTCGTCGTTAATTCATTTTTATATATCAATTATTTTTTGTTTATTGGGTCAAAGATTTTGCGAAAAGAACCGAAAAGCAAGGATAATCTAACACATTTTACATCATTGAAATTCATTCATTTTGGATTTTTGATCCTGCTCATTTCACTGTTTTAGAACATTCTATAATTAATCAAACACATAAACAAGCTGTCATCTTTTTTTTTTTCAATTAATATCGTTTATAATTAACGTGAGACAGGAAAAATTGAATTTTTAGAAGTGATTTTGTCATTACATTGTTTTTGTCAACTTAATCACGTTTACAAATTACCTATAAAACGTTCATGTTGTAAAGGTTCGTTTGACTGACATTCACTATTTGCCACCTGATTTTGCATGACTCACATGTATATATTTTTATATATACTTAAAGAAAGAAAAAAAAAACAAAAATTAGATTATACATCCCTTTGTTTTCTTGGTTCAATCTTGTTTAGTTATAAGATCTTCACATACTCAAATAAAATAATAACAAATTACAAAAACAAGATTAAAAGGTTACTCTCACAAAAAATAAAAAAAGTTGTAAAACGTTTTCTTACAGCTCATTTATTTTAGTTATTTCGATAGTGTTTATCGTTTTTTTGAAAGCGTTATAAAAAACATAAAGTATACCGTTTTTTCTTATCACTCACTTATTTTTACTATTTTGATCGTTTATCGTTTTCTTAAAAGCGTAACTCAAAAAAAAATCATATTGCTTTCTCTTATTGCTAACTCATTTTTTAACTATTTTGATATCGTTTACTATTTTCTTAAAAGTATTACTCACAAAAAAAAATATTATATTGTTTTCTCTTACCGCTTTCAACTATTTTGATATCGTTTACCATTTTCCCGTTAAAAATCAATTTACCAATTTTCCCATTTTCACATTTTACCAATTTATGTCACTAATGAGGTTCCAATGTACATTGTTACATTTGCTTCACTCAAAACTATTCTAAAATTTCAAATCATAATTTAACAAAATAGAGAAAGCTATGTAAGAGAGTGAATATGGGACCCCATCTCACAAAGACACACACATAACAAGAAACCAAGAAAACAACTCATGTGGCTTTCTGCTCAAATCTACTGTTAGATTTTTCTTCAGACCAATGTTGGAGTAAAATGGCAAAGAATCTAATAAGCACATAACGTTTTAACTCTTTCTCTTTGGTTTTACCAATTCTCACCACAACCCTTTCTGCATCTCTTGTCTCTTCTCTCACTTTTTTCTTATTTTTTTTGGTTTCCTAAATAATTTAAATAAGGTTACTCTAATCATCGACTTTTATGGCATAGCCTCGTGTAACTTGCTCCTTACTCTTTTGACTTTTGTATAAACTGTCACATGAAACTCTGTTTTTTTTTTGGTATCATATTCATGTTAATATTCAACAATGTTAGATTCACTAACGCCAAGTTTTGTATTCATTACTTCCAAGTGAAATAAAATTACTATATGAAATCTCAAATGATTGTTTCAATATTAACTTTAAACTTTAGGTTTGAGAAGTTTTAGTTCAACGACAATATGATTCTGTCCTTTTTCTTTTTTGTACCTATTTCGATTTTATTCTACTTCTAGACTTAAAAGAACTTTAAACATGAAAATATATATCTAAATTTCAAAAATAATTTAGATATTGGTACAAAGATCCCCAAAAGTTTGATACATTGTGTGAGAATTTAGAGAAAGAAAAAAATAATGTATAAGATATTGTATAAGTTACATTATATAATATTGAAACAAAGAATAAGGTATGATTTATTTAAGTAGAAAAAAAATCAACAGAAGTTCCATAATCTGATATCTCCTTCCTCAAAGAAATCATCAGAAAGTGGTAAACATGGTGCAGAGGAGACTCCATTAATGAACATGAACTGATCATCACCATCAAAACAGTTGTACCATGAAGATGATTCAGACAAGGAGACTACTTGTTGGTCATAGTGTGACGACATGGAGACAACATCATAGAGATCTTCAGATGGAGAAGAAAGCAATGGAGATGAAGTAGAGACTGATGATGATGAAGAAAGATCTGTTTTGTCTGAAGCAGCAGCAGCAGCAGCTACTCTTTGTATGGACTTAGGTGACATATCATTGTTGCTATCACCATTGTTGATAATGTTGTAAAGAGAAGTTGAGATCTCAGGGAAGTTGAGGTTATTAGCTGATGAGCCTTTGAGACAGAGGAGTGCTGCATCATAGGCTCTAGCAGCAGCTTCAGCTGTTGAGTAAGAGCCAAGCCAGATCCTTGTCTTTTGATTAGGAGCTCTGATCTCTGAAACCCATGAACCCCAACTTCTCATTCTCACTCCTTTGTACTTCTTCATCATCCTTATTGATGATGATGAAGTTGATGAAGATGTTGATGAAGATGATGATGATGATGGAGATGGTGACATTTTCTTTGTAGCTTTTTGAAGAGTTTTCACCATTTTTTTATGATACTAAACTTGGAGAGGAAGGTGGAAGAAGAAGAATGGTGAGTTTCTATTTATAGATGAAGAACATAAATGGAAACAGAAACATAAAATAATATCAAAAAGAAGAAAAAATAAAAATACTATGAACATAGTCAAAGAAAGTAGCATGGGGGCACACACATTGAGATCAATACTTTTCATTTAATTAATATGACAGACAGGTGTTTTTTATTTTATTTATGTACTTATTATAAAAAATATAAAAATAAAATAAAAAGATTTTTCTTAATCACATTCCCATATGCTACACCCAATCACAGATCACTAATATAAGAGAATCCTTATTTTATTTTTTTTCATTAATATTGATTTGACCTCCAAACTAATTCTTTAATTCCACAAAAAAATAAGGTACACACTATTCTTTACCACTAAAAGTTTACTTATTACTACTTCTGAACTTTTCAGAATCTTGGATTTAAAAAAATGTAAAATTACCCAAATCAATGCTCATATGTGAATACCTATTTCAAGAAACGACAGAGAGAGTTGTATGCAAAAACATTGGATTCTATATTTTAGAGGAAATTTCTAAAAAAGCTAAAAGACTAATAAGAGCATGCATGTGGTTTTTTTTAAGGTACAAACAAAAGACAAGAGTTAATCATCTAACTTATTATTATTATTATTTTGAGAAATAATGAGATTGCAAAAGAAGAAACCACATGATTATTTATAATAAGTTTGGTTTATAAAAACATAATTTTATAGAATCTTGAACGTTAAAGAAGCTGAAGAAGACATGTTTACCAAGGTTAAGGCACAGAAAGAGCAAGCTGGTGCATCTCTGTCTTCATGGGACTTTTAAAAACCGCGTTGCACACGTAAAAATTATCATTGTATTAAGTAAGGGTTTTACTATATTAATCAAAGTTCAGATTCCTTTGTCAAAAACTGTATTGTAATACTAAAAAAAATAAGTACTAATTTAACTAAAGTAAAGTAAAATTTGTCAAACTTGAGAATAATTTTATTTTTCTTAAATCAAAGAGGTTTTGGGGCGAATCCCATACATTTTTCAGACCCGAAACCAGAGCATGTTATAAGGTTTCGTCCCAAGTACTACTTGAACCGGTGACCTCTGAATTTTTGCGAGAGATCTTTATCAATTGAGTTATTAGACCATCTCCAATGGTTTTTGCTATTTTTTCCTCTATTATAGAGGAACTCTATAATAGAGGTGACTTTTGCTCCAATGGTTTCCTCTATTTTTTCCTCTATAATAGAATATTCCAAATAGATTCTTTTAAAATCTTAATATTAACACCATCTATTTATAAAAGTTGCAAATTAACCCATTTACTTTAACTTTTATAAAATTTTAATAAAATAATTATTTTTATTTAAACTAAACATTTATTATAAAAACATTATATTATATATTATTTTTAATGAAAAGTACATCACACTATATAAAAAAGTAATAAGATACTAGATTCTTAACCATCAGCATAAGTGTATTTTTCCCACAAATGATCAACTAATGTATTTCGAAGTGAGAAATGAGCTTTTTATCTTTTATTTTTCTGAATCGACCTAGAAACTCTTGGAAACGAATATCATCATCTTCTGCTATTTGGACCGCTGGAGGTGGAATTTCTCTTTCAACTTCAATCGGTGCATCGAGATCACGCTCATCCTCAATTATCATATTATGTAAAATTATACATGTAGTTATTATGTCATTTAACACATTTTTTTCCAAAAACGTACTGGTCCTTTCAAATCAAAAGTATTAAAGTAATTTAGGAGAATATTAAGTAATTTTTTTGGTATTAAAAGTATTATTATGGAATAAATGAAAAAATAAAATCTTTTTTTCCTTCAATAAAAATAAAATCTATTATTTATATATATTAACTTTTGCAAATGGTAGTCTCAAATTTTAGAATATTAAAAATAAAATCTATTATTTATATATATATTAACTTTTGCAAATGGTAGTCTCAAATTTTAGAATATATATTTATATTGAAACCTTTAAAATATTTTATATTATTATTAGTTATTAAATATATTTATTTTATTTATTTTGGTCATAAATAAAAGAAGTTTGAGATTAAAAGGACTATTTTGTAAGAAAATAGTTCACCTCTATTTATAGAGGAAAAAATAGAGTTCCTCTATATATAGAGATAAAAATAGCAATCTCTATAATAGAGGTGGATATAGAGGTGGGTTGGAGCAAAATTTGCTATAAAATAGAGTTTAGAGGAAGAAATAGAGGTGGGTTGGAGATGCTCTTAGCGTTTGGTAACAAAATAATCTTACACTCATTTTAAATAAGTAACTTATAAAATGGAAAAGATCATCAGTAATTAATTATATTTTACGGCGGATAATAAAGTAGGACATAACACTTTTATTTGTGCATAAAAAATGGTTTGTAAACTAGGTTTGGACCCGCACTACAGCGTGGGGGAATGCTTTTGGTTTATTTTATTTTTAACATGTTTTATCAGATGTGTTATTATTTCGTTTATTTTAGTATTAACAATTATTATTTCAAAATGTATATTTGGTTTCAATTCTTTGGATAAAGTATATATTCGGAAATGAAATATAATATTTAATAAAATAAAAGAATGTGTATTAAAAAATGACATACTCATAATGTATGTTGTGACGAACCAACCCGCAAATATCCGTGTACTTTTAAAAGAATCATAAAAAAGATTAATTTTTGGAAATAGAATAAAATTAAATAAATATAATTGAATCATGACATAAAATGAAAATAATTGAAAATTGAAAAATTTTAATCCCTATAAAAATAGAAATCACGGGAAAAAAATTAAATTTAAATTTTCATATGATAACAATCGTAATATTGATTTAATATATTATAGTAATATTATATTGATTTAATATTGATAACAATCGTAATATATTACATTTTTAATTCATTATAGTGTGTTATTTTTGGGAATAATATTTATATTTTAGAAGTGAATTTCAATTAAAAGACCTAATATATGAACTATAAAAAATGAATTGCAAAATGACTTTCTATTTTACTGAATTTCCGAATAAGAAAATTGGTTAATTAGTATTATGGATTTTTTTAATGTTTAGGATGTTTAATACCATTTTATTATCATTGCTTGGCAAAAAATAATAGTTAATAAGTTGTGAAATAGTCTTTTAATCTAAACACGAAAAATATATTTTGATATCAAAAACATATATATGATTTCAATATTGACGTATTGTAATGAACCATTTTAAATTGATTTTGTATTAACACTGATTAGAATTATTAATAAATACAAAGATAGTTATATAGCAAAAATAAACTATATCTTTTAATTTTGTAAGAAAATTTTCAAAGATATTCCCTAATAAAAATAAAAAAGAAAAAGTAAAACATTC